TGTAGAATAAATTGTGGCACTGTTGCGGTTAAAACTAGATCAACGACAACCTTCAGTCAGTTCACGGAATGATGTGGCAGCCGTATAAGCCAACTCACTGAGATGAGCTCAAAGACCACTGTGATCGTCACCACAAGGAACCAGTTGTAATTTGCACCGGACCATCAGACGTTCATTTTAGTCTTGGAGACCCACATCTAGCCGCTAGCCCAATGAAACCAGGATCCGAACCACGTCGCGGCTGGTGTGGGGCAGATGCCTTTGTTTGCATTTATATATGTATATATATATATATGTAGATTGAAGTGCCTGTTCAGCAAACAAGTTTGGTTCATGCGCATCCCCATTTGATATATAAATGCCTTTGTTAAGCTACTCCAACCAATGCATAGCCTGGGTTCTTGTATTCTGAAAGAAACTATCCACGACATGGGTGACAAACCGGGTCATATTTGTGCCTCGCGGCTCCAAGGAATCCAGCAGTGCCTACGTTTGGTCTTGGCTCGTGAGATCCAGCGGAACGTCTCCTATGAGTATTTCGTGCGACTGAGACCGGACCTCCTTGTGCTCACAGACCTTCCCAACCTGGAAGATGCTGTTCTCGGAAGACACTGCATCCTCGCCAGACTTCGTGCGGCGAACAACATCATGGAGAGCCCCTAGTAGCGTCCTTATTCCTAGTAGTAAGGCCAGGAGCCCCTAGTAGCGGCCTTGCTCCTAGTAGCGATGCCCTTTGCCCCTAGTAGCGTTCTTGTTCCTAAAAAGGTCCAAAAGGCAATTAAGAGCTGCAGATGTTTCCCACAAGCGCCAACGGGACCTTTTGTCTCCAAATGCAATGCAGGATCTTACAAATGAGCATCTCTCATGGTGCTACTGCGATCATGGTTGCTGCTCACGTGGAGCACTCAAGGGAAATGATGCCATGTATATCATGGATGACATGATCACCATTGCAGCACGAGAGCCATTCCTTCGCCTTTGGCAAGGGAGAGAACACCTGGACAGGTTTTGAGAGAGAGGGGGAGTTGCTGGAGCAACATTGCAAATCTACACTTCGCTTTGGTACGCCCCCGAACTGACATGGACATGCAATTGAGTTTGAAAGCACTGTAATTGCAGTAACTGTAATGATTCATGGCGCTTGCTAGCCTGGATCGACTGAACGATTCAAATTGCAGAGGTCCAGAACAACTTAGAACAACAACCCTGAAACTGAAACCACAAATTGGCCACCCGCTCAGTAGACTTACGCGAAGTATACATGTATTTACAGAGATGTGGTCTTTCAAGGGAGGGGTGTTTGTGTCTTTCATTTGTGCGGTGTTCGGTTCCTGTTCGACTTGAAAGACGCGCAGCGGCAAGGATAAACCCCTCTGGTTGATGGCGCCGATGGCTGAGACTTCGATGACGATGTGGATGCTCCGGAAAGGAGTGCCAAGACGCTTCGATCCGATCCGTTTCCGAACGCACCGGGTTTTTCCCAGGTGCCTCCGGTAACGGTGCCTTGGTCAAGCCAACTTGGTCGACCTCACAAGGGGGGTCACCAGGCCAGCTTCTTTCTTCCACAGGAAGATCCCAATCAACTTCTTCATTGAGATGACAGGAAGACATGCGGCATGCCCTCAAAGTCGCAGCTACTCGAAACAAATCTGAAGGACTAAAGACATCGTGGAAAAACAGGCATACTTTACACATTATGTTCGCATTGGTCGGATGCGAGTTTATCCAATCAGGGGGATCTGTCCACAGCCAGCAACTTGGCATTGTGTCAAGTTCATTCTTTGAACACATTCTAGTCGGGCGTCAACGCGTACGATTTTGAGCAGTTGCGACCCGTACTCTGAGGGGCTACAACATTTGCATGTTTCTGTCGAGAAGTTCAGATTGTTGGTGTGAATGGGCTTGAAGATTTTTGAGTTGGCGGACAGTCCAAGTACAATCTGGCAATCAAAGCCAAAGCATGGTCGAGAAAGCCTTCCTGAGCTGTATAGTCTCGTGGCATTTCTGAGCCATGCTCCTTCGTAAACTCAATCACTTGGTTTGAATCTTCCACTTAGACAGAGTCTTTTCCACGTTTATGGATCTCTGATGATTACCCTTTGGGGTCCCTTCGGACCCGGTGACAGGAGTGCCTTTGTGTCCTTTGGCAATACGGGCCTTGCCCTTGGGCAGTGGAAATCCGCATGCCGCCCAGATGTCCAAGTGCGGCTATGTGGAAGGAAGCCCCCCTTTGCTACAGAGTTGGCTGCTCAGGATTAGTAAGATTTGCTAGCCCAAGAGGTCTGGATTCGGGCTGAGGCCACGTTGGGGGTGGCTGAAAAGAGCAACTTGTTTAAAGCTGTTCTACTTGAGTCACACAGTATGTCAGGCTATTACGGAACTCTTAGAGTCGAGCAGCCGAGGTCAATGTGGCTTACCCAAAGCTTCAAAAGACAACGTTCATTTGATCACAGCCAAATAGCTGCCTTGGCTCCTGGACATGCGATTTAAGATCAACGTGAGAGGTGTCAACATGCGATTCAGAATCTGAATGAAGGAAACGCCACAGAATCTTCTCACAGTCACCGACCTCCGGCGTCCAGATCCGTGCTGCAGAATGCGTCCCGTCACAGATCCGTGCGCTCAGATGGTAGAGATCCATCGTCCCCGGAGATGATCTTCAGTGATTGGGACCAGCTTGCAGATGCGAACGCCGCTCTGCTTGTGCGAAAAGCGAGCGCAAAAGAGCCTGGGTGAATTTGGCCCATGAGTTGACACTTGATCACTGATGAAAACTAGGCCTGAAGGTCTAATACCAAGCATGCCATATATACTGTATATATATATATACTACCGCCCCTCTTGTGTTCTTTGTGTTCTTTCAGTGTTTTGTATGTTGTGGATGTCAGACAGATAATTGATTGAAGACTGTGCATTGTAGTTTCGTGAACGACATAGCTTGATTCCAGACGAAAGCACATATGGAAGAGGTCACTGATTTTTGTATGAAGAGCAGGGAGGATGCACAGTAGACTTGTACACGCAGAACAGGACGCAGCCATTTTCCCCAGGTGGTCAACGTCATTTTTAAACACAGCTCTTCGACATAAACTTTGCCATTTCCCAGGAGCAAAGTATGCCGGTGGAAACCCAGAGGTCAGCATTCTTGTGCCAGTACTCGTACTGGGCTGACCGGAGCATAGCTCTCAGGGTCTTTGACCCGACTTTGGAATGTTGGTTCAGGGCCATCCTATCTTTCAAGAATCTCCATGCCCGGTCAATGATCTGCGTCCCGGCTTTAACCTTCATCTTCTTCTTCTCGCCTGGGATCTTGTGGGTAAGGACTTGAACATAGATTGGAGAACGCCACTGCCACTTGCCATTCTTCTTCCCTTTTTTTGCATGGATGACATTGTCATGAATGACCCCTTGCACTTTGCACTTGTAGCTCTTTGCTGCGTCAGTGTGCAAAATGACGCTTTTGTCCAGAAGCCATTGTTTTGGCCAACGGCAACCACTCGACCTTGCGGATGGCGCCTGGGCCTGGAGCGGGGGCTCGGACATTTTGGGGTTCAACCTATGGAGCACCAAGGTCTGTGGACGACCTCTCTTCACAATGCCACACCACTGTTCCCAAGCAACAGGTGTGGTGGCTGCAAGGCGAGCTTGCCTAGGTTCTCCTTGTCAAACGTGGAACGTGGTCTCGTCAGCCTCTACATCATTTTGCCTGCTCCAAAGTCGATCTTCTTCTCTTCTTCCTGCACCCACCTCATACGCAAATCACGCAGCCACTTGTCCATGTCCTCAATGGCTTCATGGTTGGCACCAAGCAAGCGGTGAATGACAGGGTGAGGCACACGATTGAGAAGCGGGAGCAGCAAGGCAGACTGCATCTGCAACGATGTTGCGCCAGAGCACCTGCCATCAACGAAGAGTGGATGTAGGCGATGCGGATTCAAGTAGACATGGCATGCCTTGGCACGGCAACGGTAGGTCGGCTGGTGAAGCTTGGAGAGCGAACCTTTGCTACAGCGGGGGCACTTCTGCCCGTCCCAAGAGCAAAGCAATTTGTCTTGAAGGAGCAAGCGGACGATCTTCTGGTCGGAAACTCCGAGCAATTCAGGGATCATCCTTTCCCACTTGATGCGATCCATGCGCAGACCAACATTTTCCACGCTTGGGTGCTGGAAAAGGATTGAAGTTACCCTTTTTGAGCATTTTGGGCACATGGTTTGAAGGACGCTGCGGCAACTGGTTGATGTCTGCACTGAAATGGCTGCAACCTTTCAGACGTCAATAAAGGCAGAAGGGAGACACGCATTCCATGTTTCATTCTAGTGAAGCCACAGACGCACGAACACAGAAGTGACGGCCAGTGTAGAACACATCCACCCAGACACTACGCGCGCAAAATCAGAAAGAAGCAATCGCAAGAGTATATGTGGCATTGTCCGATTTTTTCTGCTTTGTGAAGGTCTCTGTGGCTAGTCATATCGAGCAGCATATGCCCATCTCGTTGAATTGTGAGAAAGGAGACTCAAAATGCCATCAGAACGTGCTGAGACCAATGAAGCCACCACAGCCGAATCATCGCTCTTCGTCAGGCGCCATGCCAACGCCTGGACATTGTTTTCATGGTCCATCGCATTCTCCAATGCCTGCTCCAAGGTCTCATCATCGTCCGCGTGCAACAGGCCCAGTTTCGCACTGGGATTTTCCTTTGAAGACGATGGGGCAGAAGAAAGAAATTCTGACTTGGTGACGGCGAATCCAGTTCCATGACTCCGCGAGGAGCCGAACGCAATGACTGGAAAACAACCTGCTCCTTTTTGACTTTGATACTCTCCTTCTTTTCAATGTCCCAGTTGGTCCATCCCATGCTGGCGCGGTCGGTGTCCACGTTCACTGGGTCGGAGTGAGTCTCGCGAGCGAAGAAGGCGTGCCCGTCATGGTACCTGAGTAGAACAAGAACTATGTACGCGCATCGTTGGACGGAAGATCACGACAACCGGAAAGAAATTCAAACGTTGCAAAAGAGAAAGACAGACAAAAGCAGCTGAAACACTCGGCAGACTCCATCTTCACGCACGGAATGCTGTGCATCTTGGCCTCTCTTGTCTTCTTTTCTTGTTGTCGAGCTTCTTCTTCATGGTGACGATCTTTGCTTCTTGCAGCCGCTCCCCTGGTCAAACGTGTAAGCAGACAAAGTGCCTTTTAATTTGGCAGATGTATGGCTTTGTGGCAAATGCAGTTTTTTTGTAAATGCGAGGAACACAAGCCATGTGCAATGGAAGGAACAGCATAGCATCATACAAGAAACTCAGACAGAATGCAAGTGTTTCGCAGATGCTGTTCATAATCTCCAGGAACGGGCCCACCTTGCTTGAAGTTCTGGAGCTTCGGCTTGGAGGTGTCCAGCAGGATGTCCGGTTTTTGCCATCGAAGCCGGCGCGCCTGGATTTTCTGGCTCAGATGGAAGACGATATGTGACGCGCTGGTTGCCAAAGATAATGAAAGCGCTACGCTTCAGGATCGCCATGGCATCTGTGTGTGCCATGCTGCTAAGAGCTGGTCGAAGCATATAAGGAAGAAGTTCTCATGGGAGACAATGAGGTCAGAGTCCAAGTTGTTGTCTTCAGGTTCAGCACCCGGATTGTACGCATGGTCCAAGACTTGACGAAGCTGGTGACGTGCAAACTTGGCACTGGCCCACCCGGCACGGGTCATGGATTCGTCATCTCCAACGTCGGTGAAAAGTGAAAGCTTTGATCTTTTTCACCTCCTCCCCACTGATGTTACCGGCATCAAAAAGAGCAGGTGCAGTCTTGGTAAAGGGGATGCCCTTGAAAAAGTCCAAGTCAGACGTTGTGCGAAAAGTGCCCTGGCCCTCTCCCCCATAGTAGCGCGAGAACATCGTGGCGACTACTCGCCCCAAAGGTGTCTTGCCCTTGCCTGCCTCACCTAACAGCCGCAATGCGTGATCTCTCAGACAAAGAACCACCTTCTCCACAATGTCCGTGAGAGGTCGTACCTTTGACACAATTTTGCAGAGGAATTGTCATTTGCCGAGGAGTCCAGAGCTTTCTGGACCAGACGTTCCTGCCAACCATGGACGGGGCATCCTTCCAAATGGATATGATGATGAATCCACCGGAGTTGCTTCAAATCGCTTTTGTCCTTGATGAACCGCCAGCCATCGTTTTCCGGCAAAGCGGCGCTGGATGCAGGTTTCCTTTTTTCAGGAGTAAGAGTATACTTTCTGAAGCGCAGGCCACCCAGTTGTTCAAGCATCCACTGGAAAGCTTTTGTTGGTCAGTCTTTTGTCGTGACCACCCCATGCTATTCCCTTGCCTGAGCACGAAGAAGAGATTGTACATAAGAGCCTGACACCTTGTCGTCAATGATGTGGACATGCTTCAGCAGGATTAAGTGGTCATCATCTTGAGGCAATAGAAAGTATTGGCTTTCCATGTGGCAGTAGGGGCGAATCTCCCAAGCCTTATCCCTGAAGACTGCTTGGAGAGACGGAATATCGATCGTGTTTTTGGGAATGTCCACAACGAGGTCGACGAAGTGCTTGATGGAGAGAAGGCCTTGACGTCCAGGTCCCTGAGAGGCAGATCCGTTGCCGACAAAGCTCCAGGAGGCATTGGTCCAACACAGACGCGCGCAGGCAGCTCCCTGATGAACAGACCCTGCGTTGCTGTCACTGCGTTCTCCCAATTGATGCTGTCGGGAGACACGGTCACCATGGCCAAAGTATGTCAATTGTTTCCTAGATTTTTTTTTTCAGCGGTGCTGCTACAATAGTCAGAGAGATCAGATAAGGTCACCTCACAATGAAAGTAGCCAAGCACGTGTTATGGTGAGCGTTGAACTGTCATAGCTTTTCTTTTACTCTCTATTGTGCGCAGTAGTACAAGAAGCTGCCGCCCGCAGAAGGTGCATACTGGGAAACGCTGTGGATGGTTATAGTGTGCTGAAGAGTGACAACCTGTAACAACGAGCTTGCGGAAAACGCACTTGCATTACAGCACATGCTTTATTGAAAGAGGAAGAAATCCAAGTTCTTACGCGCTTTCTGGTGTGCGTGGCGGCGAGTATGGCCACCACACTTCTGGCGGTGTGAGTGGCAACGCGCCCGGAGGTGGCGGACCCGGCGGTGTGCCGGCAAGAAGGCCGCCGAGCGGAGGCCCTGGCGATGTGCCAGGGATTGCTCTCATTGGCGCCACGGCCACCATCTTGCCAATCTCCATGGGAATGTCAAGCCTGAGGCGGTGAAGGTTTGCAAAAGACAGGATCACGATACAACAGCAAGAAACGTAAGTACATTCAGTTTTCTCGAAGATGCTCCGACTCATCAGTTGGTGCTTCCGAAGCCGTCGCAACCACAGACTCGAATTCCCAGGCGGTTGCTCCCGTTGTCTCAGCAGTGGCCATGGACATGTCTGACCTGACGCGGATATGGTTTGCGACACAGGGAACAGACAAAATGAAAAGACAGCAGCCAGAAGCAGTGGTATGTTTATGTTTTTATATAATCGGCAAGATGCACAGAATCGTTGCCTGCGATGTCAACGACCTCTTCCGTGGGCCTCGTGGCAAGAGATAGAGTGTACTACGATTGGGCTTGGTTGGACGAGTGGCTCATATACTTGCTTTAGTTTTTGCTCACTGCAAAGATGAATGCACTTGCGAAGCGGCTAAGCTTATGACTCTCCGATGTAGTGTTTTGGCTTG